AAATCGGCAACTCGTGAGCATCTCTAAATCTTACTCAAATTTGAATTTGAATAAAAATAAATTTCAATCATACCAAATAAATACTCAAATTTTTAACAGTTAGATTTCACCGTCCTTTAAAAATCTAATGACTATATTTACTATCTTTTAAATTTGAATTTGTCCTTTTTTAAATTTAAATGTTTGTACTAGAGTGCTTTGTATTAAATTAAATTTTTTATTCAAATATTAATTCAAATTTAAGTAAAGGCAGGAGATGCCTTAAAATTCAACCAAATAGCCACCGATAATCTTAATTAAGCTATTATGCTGGTAAACTACGAAAGTAAGCCGGTCCAAACGAGGCCTACTGTACTGTTTACTTTCATTTTTTTTGTTTGGGGAATAAAAACTTCACTTTTTTCAAAGTACCAACATTTTGTGCATTAGATTCTGGCAACATTCCAGACCAAAAAGATAAAAAAAATTCTGATAACAAAACAAAAAACAAGAAATTTCCAAGTATTTTCGTTTTCCGAACCCACATGTAGGAAAAAGTCAAAGCGTACTAGACTGCTCGTCTGACATGATATAATCAATTTAATACAGTATTGACAATGATATCATAGTCATATCAATCGATCAATGGTGACAATTTAATGCTGTTAATGCTCAAATTTGGTCATTATTATGCTCATTTATTTCTTACACTAGCAATATAGCACGTACGTTATACGTGAATAATTTTATATAAAAAATAATAATGAAAATTAGAAGTGAGTCACTCTATATGTATTTGTTTAGAGATAATTCATGCAAGAAAACTTATAAGAGGCTGAGTCCATGATTAAAATTATATGTAATGACTTAAGTCTAATTTTTTTTTTATCTCAAAAATACATTTCCTTGAAAGAAAATTAATATTTTCTCTCTCATATCTATTTATATCCATATATAAATTAAGAGTTTGATTAACATTAAAAAAATTTCTCTCTCTTATCTATCTATATCTGTATATAGGTTAGGTATATATATATATAATAACATTAAAAAAAAATAGTAACATTCAAATACAAAAAAAAAAGTTACTATTAATTTGAATAGTAAAATTTAAATTCATGTTACTATTTTTTTTATTATATTATTGTTCATGTTACTGCTTTTGTTGAGAATGTTACTATTTATGTATTATTATTTTTGAGCTTGTTACAGTTTTTGTTAACCATGTTACTACTATTACTATTTTTTTTTTGAATATTACTATTTTTTGTATTTGAATGGTACTATTTTTTGTGTTTGAATTTGAGAGAAATAATTTTGTTAAGTATGTTACTATTTTTGTTGAACATGTTACTGTTATTATTTTTTAAAAATATTAATATTGAATGTTTCAATTTTTTTTATGTTTAAATGTTACTATTTTTTTGTCTTTAAATGTATTATAAATATATAAGAGAGAGGAAAAATTTTAATGTTAGTCAAACTCTTAACCTATATATGAATATAGATAAATATGAGAGAAAAAAAATATTTTAATGTTAGTCAAACTCTTAAGATTTATGAGTTTTTAATTTTAGTTTTATTTCACTTCTAAAGGGAAGGGATAACATGATAATATTAACCACAAACAGACTTCATAACAAATAAGTTTTTTTGACAGACTTAAGTCCAAACAAGTCTATATAAGGGACCGGCCTCCAAAATTTCCAAAATAATAAAATATATTACATATATGTATATCTGAATTAAATATCATTTTACATTTAGTAAACTTAATTTTTCATTACTCATATTTTATTATAGGATTACGAAAAATTTGTATGTTCTCAAAATTATTTGTTCTAACTATAAGAAAAAAGGTTAAAAAAATTGTTAAAGTTCTATTTTTTTTTTAACATTTTATGATTGAGATTATCTTTTTAGTGATTTTTGAAAAATTAAATTTTTTGAAATTTATTTTATTAGGATTTCACTTATAATTCATTGACTAAAATAAAAGTATTTATTAATATATTAATCATATTCGAACTTTACTGGAATACAGAATTGGTTAGGTGAATTGGAATAAAATTTAATATACTACTCTATAATATATATTATCAAGCAAATTAAAATTCTAAACAATTGAAATTTTACTTAAAAATACACTATAATATCTATTTTCACATAAAATCTTAATACAACTTAAAAAGTTTATTGTGGATGAAGAATTTTATTGATGTCAAGTAAATTGATTTTAAAAAATTATGTTTATGGTTATTTTTTGTCTTAAAAATAAAAGGATTAAACTTTTTTATGAAATAGAAAATACACATATGTAAGTATAATGTTATCTTTGCATATGAGAGGAGTAATATTAGATTTATGAAATTTTTGAAGGTTTTTTGAACACTTCATTAAAAATATTATGAGGCATATTTTTAAGGATAATATAGGTAATCAAATTTTTATATAGAAATTGATATTTATACACAGATATTAAAAGATATGTTAACGATAACTTGGAGATTTAAATATTTAAAGATATCATGATAATTTAGATATTTAATTGTAAAAAGAAATAATGATCTTTACAATTCCTTATAAGGGTAAAATAGAGATTTAAACTTTTTTATGCTAAAATACTTTTATTAGTAGTATGTAAAGATATAGATATATACATAGATAAAGGAAAAAGGTTAATTGTATTGGAGGTTTCCAAAGTATAGAATTTGTCTTATTTTAGTCTTCAATGTTTCAATTGTATCATTTCGGTCTTTGAAGTATTGAATATGTTTTTATATGATTCCTCATACAGACAGTGTCCAAATTGCTAACATTTTTTTTATCTAAACTTGTCACATGATAGTTAAATATGGACAAAAAAATAAATTAGATAACTCTTGATTAAATTTTTGTTAAATACCTACATAAATTATATAATTTTGATCATTAGCTATCCAAATTTTGGTCAAAAGTTACTTATATTACAATTTTTTGTTAAGAACCACCTAAAATTTGTTTAAGAGCTACTAAAATTATTTTTTTTTCCATATTTAGCTATTATGTGACAAATTTATGATAAACAATCGTTAGTAATCTGGACAATGTCTGCATGCAAGACGATATAGAAATATATTTAATACTTCAGGGACTGAAATGATGTAATTAAACTATTTAGAACCAAAATGAGACAAATCCCACACTTTTGGGGACCTCTAGTGCAATTAACTCAAAGAAAATTTTTCAAACCATATTCATTCTAGTTTCTTAGATCTTCAAGGACACTCATTCTATTATTCAAAACATCACTGACACCCTTTGCAGTTAAAACCACTATTTCTAACAAAAACAAATATCTAAAATACTAAAATTATCCCTACATAAACCCCAAATAATATTTTTTTTTACATAAAATTCGATTAAAATTTGAGTCGATTTAATTTTTTTTCTACATATTAAAATTTGAGTCTATTAAAATTCGATTCGAGCTGATTAATTATTATTTTTTTTACATATTAAAATCAAAGCCTGTTAAATTTTTTTTTTTACGTATTAAAATTCGAATCAATTTGAGTTCTACTTAAACTATTAGCGTTAATTAAAATTCGCTTTGAATCGATTTAAATTTATAATTTTTTAGTTATTAAAATTCATGTCAATTAAAATTTTATTCAAGTTGATTACAATTTATTTTTTATATATTAAAATTTGAGTCAATTAAAATTTATATTTTTTTTGTATTAAAATTTGAGGCCGATTAAAATTCAATGCGAGTTAATTAGAATTTGATTCAATTCGATTAAAAAGAAATAATTTTTTAATCGGCTCGAATAGAATTTTAATCGGCTCACAATTTAATACGTAAAAAATATAATTTTTAATCGACTTGAATTTTAATATATAAAAAATAAATTTTAATTAGTTCGAATCAAATTTTAATCGGTCCAAATTTTAATACATAAAAAAATTATAAAATAGAGGGGTATCATTGAAGATATACCTACCTAGAAAGGGTGTGAATAAAATTTTTCCTAAAATATATCATAAACAGTTTAGTAAAACTATATTTTAGTTAACATATTTAATTTGACAGTGCGTGTCATTGAAGATTCAAAAAATAGAGAGTGTCATGAAGATATGATAAACTAGAAAGAGTCTAACTGAAATTTTCTTTAACATAAATTATTAAATTAATAAGTTCATTATTATTTTTATTGAATTATTGTGAGAGAATTATACTTAAATCCCCTAAAGTTTATTATTTAATTACTTAAACTCTTAATATTTAAAATATTTTACACAGGCCCCTAAATTTTGTAGGCAATTATACCCCGTTTAGTAAATTATACCTAGACTCGAAGTTTATAAACATACCGACTCTCAATTTTAAAATATTATACTTAAATCCCTTATTAGTTACAAAACTAACGAAATTTATTAAACAATTAAATTATTCCAACTAAAGATAGGAGATATTGTGTCCATTACAGTTTAGTCTTTTGTTTGATTTTTTTAGTTTTAGTATAATTATATACTAATTATAATTTTTTTAAAAAAATTAATTTTAATTTTATTTTAATAAATGACATTATAAAATACAAATTTTGGTTATAAAATTTAAATTATTTGATATTCTATTTTTAATTAAAATATTTTTAATCTAAATATAATATTTTATACTTGAAAGATTTAATTATTATATGCATATAAACTTTAAGGGTCTTGATATAATTTACTATAAATTAAGTGAACAAACCCTAGATATAATTCTCCCTATTATTCGTGCACAGCAATATTACTGTACCTGAAAAATTTCCACAGAAAATAGCAGTGCTATTCCGAGAGAGAGAGAGAGAGAGAGAGAGAGGGGAGGGAGGGAGGGAGGTTGGTTGAATTTCCTTTTAGCGTTTGTGCCTCGAGTCAACCCCTTTTCTTTTCTCAACCCAACCTTGAAAAAATAAAGCCCTCTTTAAATTTTCCATACAAATTTCAGTTGCTGTATAATCTGATCTGCGTTTTCAGTTGAATAAATTAAAGTCATGGCCACAAGTGGAAACAAGAACATCAACGCCAAATTGGTGGGTGCTTTTAGTTTTAGTTTTTTGTTTGCCTCGTTTGTGTTGATTTTTTTGTTTAAAGACACCCAAATTGGTTGATGCGTTCTGTTTTGGTCAATTCTGATGTTGGTATTCGTTCGTTCACAACGTTTTTGATTTGCTGTTCCGAAATGTCCATCCGTTTTATTTAATTCAATGCTAACTGTGAATTTCAGATTGAACTTATGATGTAGTAGTACGGATTTTGGGCTAGCTGTTCTTCAGCAATGATCATGAAATAGATAGTTCTGTGCTTTGGGTAGAAAACTTTATCTCAATTCGACATATGTACTGTTGGCTTAAAGCACCAGATTGGAAGGGTTTTTTTTTTTTGTTCAATTTGGCTTTGGGCTAAAAAATTCCTTTCATGTATAGATTTGGGTTGATGTTAATTATTGATCTAAAAGATTGAACTAAGTTATTTGGTCACGAATTTGAAGTTGTCTAATCTTCTTCAGACGTTGCGATGTAATATTATTTGTTATTTGCCAGGACCAACTTCATTCTTAGGTTTGTGTTGTTAGTTCTATATGTGTTTGTAATATCATTTAAATTAACTCCTGGGTTAAGATTGAGGACGTTATGCTGGTTTTGGCCTCTTTCATGTTTCAGTTCTTATTTTTAGTTTTTAATTTTGTTCTTTTTTATGTGGCATTAGTGGATTTTCTTCCTGCTTTACATGGCAGAATAGCAATTTACATTTATTAGGCACACATTTGATCCTACACATTTCAAAATTTTCCTACTGGCCACATTGGTTTTTCAATCTAATATTGTGATTATACATGCAATCTTTTGTAATTTCTGGTGTTTCTGTTGCTTACTGCTATTGCTTTGTAGCTTGAGGTTATTGTCTTTACTTTTATGCTTTGTTTAACCTCTTTAATTGGTTCTGTCCTCAACTTGGACTGAATTTGATACTTTGGATAAATTTAGCTAGTTATGCCATCAATTTTCCCTGCACTATTTGCTTTCAGTTTTTTGCAATGATTTAGCCTTCCGACCTTTTCCCAATAGTTGTTGTCTTTAATATTCAGCTCTAATTCCTGTCAGCTAGATATCTTTTCTTCTAAGGTGGATGACATTTGGGTTGTGTTTCAGGTGCTGCTTGGAGATGTTGGAGCTGGAAAATCTAGTTTGGTGTTGCGTTTTGTTAAAGGACAGTTTGTTGAATTTCAGGTTGGTCTTACTATGGATTTTGGTGTTTTAAGTTCCATGACTTGAGGTTTTGTAGTTGGATTTTTGTGGTTGACCTTTGTTTTATGATGTGTAGGAATCAACAATAGGCGCTGCCTTTTTCTCACAAATATTGGCAGTAAATGATGCAACTGTAAAATTTGAAATATGGGATACAGCTGGTCAAGAGAGATACCATAGCTTAGCTCCAATGTATTATAGAGGAGCTGCTGCAGCAATAATTGTTTATGATATAACGAATCAAGTAAGTTCTCACTTCTCACAAATCTGCTGCGTGGTTTCTTCATCATCATGCTTAGGCCCCAAAAGTTAAGCCTCTGACTGGGCAAGCCTGCCTACCATTTGTAACTTCAACGTGTTTCCTTAGTCTTGAACATTTCAAAAATCTCTTTGTTAATGGTCATCATTGAGTTCTAAAATTTGGGTGCATTGAGGTTTTGTTGGTTTAGGTTGACCATATGGCAGTATTTTCATGGATGACCTTACTATTATCTGATAGTATAGTCGGATCTCTTATGAAAAAGCTTTCTAAAAGAGCATTGCAAGTACCTGCATACTTAAGGAGTTCAGGCTGAATAAGAAAATCTATATTGTAGGTTGTCAGTTTGTTTTAATCATTTGGATGAGTCTTAATGATATTACGCCTGTTGGACATTGTGGGCACAAGTTGGGTTATGACACCTCTTTGTAAATGTGGAAAAGATCACCCAAAATAACAATTTGAAAAAGGGTATTCTAGCAATTCTTAAATTACAAACCAGAGAGATACATAAAGGTTCATAGCTTAAGTAGAAAGGGAAGAGACGGAGGTGGAGTCAAGGTTCAAAGTATCGGCCGAGTCCTGTATAACTCAACGGATGCCTTATGAAAATGCTTTCTCCAAGAAGATTGCAAGTACGCAAACTTAAGAAGTCCAGGCTGAATAAGAAAATCTATATTGCAGGTTGTCAGTTTGTTTTAATCATTTGGATGAGCCTCGACAAGATTACTTCCCAGGGTTGAATTTTTTTTTTATCAAAATGTAGCTAACACCTGTTGGACATTATGGGCACAAGCCTTACAGGCACCTAAGGTTGGGTTCTGACACATCTTTGTAAATGTGGAAAAGATTGCCCAAAATAACACTAGAATTTGTAGAAATTCTGAATTCTTTCTTTGAAAAAAGGTTATTGGAGCAATTCTTGGATTGCAAACAAGAGAGATACCTAAAGGGTTCAACGTATAAATAAAGGGAGGAGAAAAAGGCGGAGTCAAGGTTTAAAGTATTGGCTGAGTCCTTCACGGCTCGGCAACCTTTGATTAGATAATGATACACGACATGGGAATATCACGATACTCAGCTGAATCGGTACTAACTTGGTTACGACTCGTTCAACTTGGACCAACTCGGATAATCTCAGACCAAACTCGGGTGAGTCAATGCTGAATCAAAGCAATTCTCGAAATTGTCTAGACCAAATTGCAAACAGCCACCAGCATCCAAAGAAAAAGAAAGATAGAAGAAAACAAGAGACCGAAGGGAAGAAGAAATTGGTAACCCTAAATAATTCCTCTTTTTGTAATTACATTAAATGAAGAATATATTGAAAAATTTTCAAGACAAAACCTGTATATGGTGAACCAATTGCCTTTGCGAAGGGGAGAAACCCTTCCAGTTCTTCTTCTTAATAGTCGCTCAGAACCAACAAGTAGCAAATGGTCTCTCGGAAGGTGTTCCCTCTCATTTCACAGTGTCTCTCTCTACATATGTTGTGTCCCATTGCCCAGTCTATCTCGCTCCCCCCCCTAACTAGATTCTCTGTTTTCGTCTAGGAGTCTTACTCTAGAATCCTAGACTAAAAAAGAATACTTTTATATGTTTAATGCAGTTATATTTTGAAATGTTTTGAATCTTTAGAATTAATGTTGAAATTACATTTAGATTTACAATTCATAGTTAAAATATTTATTTTTTGTCATTTTAATTAATTTTTTTTTGGAAATGGAATACTAATATGTTCAAAGTAATAATTGTACCACCTATTTAATGCTTAATTGCTTAATGATTATTATTGGTAGCACCCTTAACTTTCATTTTTCCAATGTTTAATGTGTTAAATGATATATTTGGAACATATAATGCATGGATGTTGGTTACATTTTTTAGAATTTTTCATAATTTTTTTTTTACAATATTTTGAACCTTCTATCTAGCATTTTGTGCATATATACTGATAACATGCCGTGATACCGTGAATAATTTGTATTAGCAACTCTAAGTTGATGACCAATTCTGCGACTTTGGATCAAAGGACAAAGTAAGAGGAAGTTGAGGAGATAAAGGAGGTGAATCCGAGTTGTCAATTTTGTGGGCTGTTGTACGATCTCTAATATGTTTATAAGCCATATTCTTCCCATTTCTCCATGTTATAGTTTTGGATCCGATTGTTGAGACTATTTTGAGGTAAAATTCATTTTATTCGTGTGGTTGGGGTTGTTGCACCTTAACTCCTTATGGTCAATGTAATCACATAACCACAATGTGTTTTTTGATTAGTATGCACTTTCCTGTTAGTGGTATTCACAAAATGACTAACATAGTCCCATATATATAAAATGCATAGTTAATTCTAATTAAAGTTCAATTCAATTAATTCTCTGTCTAGACATATATATCTCTTCTTTGTGATAGCCTAATGCCCCTTTTTGCAAATTCAATACCAAGAAAACATATAAGCTTGCCCAAATCCTTGGTATGAAACCTTGTTTGTAAGCTTAGCAACTATGAAGCACAGGCATTTTCAAGAAAGTGATTTATCTATGTCGGACATTAACACTCTCTAGACACTCTCGGACATGTGTCTGATATTCTTTTTATACGTGTTTATAATTAAATGATAAATTTTAATTTCAGACACGTATTGGACACTTTTTTTGTGACGTGTCTGATAGTTCTTTAGAATTTGTTTACTATTATAATAAACATGTGTTGATATTTAATTAACAAAATTTAAAACTTTGACTAATAAGTATCTTATACTACGAAAGAACATATAATTACCATGACTAGATATGTTAAAATTGTACTTAAAATATAATAACAAAAGTAAAAGATACATAAAAGATTTAGAAAAGAAGAATTGAGAAAATGAGAGCAATCATTTAAATTATATATTGTTGGTGCACGGCTACGAAAAATTTGATGATTATTAACTATTATGATGTTAGTCTAAAAATTCATACTAGATAACTACACATAACATTTATGTATCATAAAATACTGATTTATTTTATGAATAACATCATTATTTCTATAATTGTAATAAATTATATAATTTTATATATAAAACACAATTATTTGTAGAATGTCCCCAACGTGTCTTTATCATACTTTTTTGAGAAATGTCGTGTCTAGGTATTCGTGTCATGTTGTATATGTGTCTCGTGTCCGTGTCCGTACTTCTTAGCTTAGCAATGGCTCGAGACTATGAGAATAAAGTAATATGAACATATATTGATAAAAACTTAATTGATCTATTTGGCACATACTAAATCCAATACTAGTATTGCGACTGGAAACCTTCCAAATAATGTACTCGGTGAATGTTTAAACTATATGGGGCCTCCTTTAACATTCGAACACTATCATGATACTCCTATTAAGCTGCAGATGTGGTGCTTCATATCTCCGAAGCACAGATAGGGGACGTGGATACAACCCTACATAGACACACAAACATGATGCTTTTCAAATAAGTAGTACACAAATAGGTCACGGACATGTTAAATAGATTTATGTATATATTTTATAGGACGATGTTCCAATGTGTGCTTCTCCTAACCTTGACTTAATAGCTGGTCCAACACATATTTTATTATCTAGTATTGAGTTTACAAACTTGGCGCAAATATATGTTTAAATTCAGCATAAAATATATATGCATTTAGCTTAATTGTGCCCGAAATACAATTCACGCATAAAGTCTATTGGATCAAACAAAAGTCCAAAGAATATATTATCCTTACCAAGTCAAACCATCAAATACATTGAACAAATTGAAAGCTTTCATTTTCCTCCGAGTCATATATAATCATTTGAAATGGTGGATAAGTTGATAAGAGGAAATCTGGTAGAACGATCATAGAGTGCCCATGGCAATGGTTTGATTTAAGGGGTATTTTTGTAATGCTGAACATATTTACCTGGAAAAAAAAACATAGCATCTCAGAAAAATCTCTTCCGTTTAAGTTAACTCTCTCTCTCTCTCTAACAAATGCCTGTGTTTCTCTCTATAAAAACATTAGCAACATCACCCTCTAAAATGTGTCTTTTGTGAAATCTTCGGTGCTATATGGCGTCATCGTATTTTAGTCAAGGTTGCCATTGATGGTATTGTGTCTTCATTTACCCCACCAGCCAACAATACAAAATGTGAGAGTTACTTTCTAATTAGTTGGAGCAAATGTTTACCTATGTGTCCGATATTCATTTAAATAAAAAAAAATGGATGCAAATTTTGTTGTATCAAACACGTGTTTAAGATGTTTTCTAATGCGTCTATATCCTAGACATGCAGGACAACAACATGCAAGGGCAAATAGCGTGTTGGTGATTCTTAGCTTGAATAGACCTCATCAACTATGTCATCATGAGGAAGACGTATCATTACGTAAGAAGACATTTATGACATCCAACTGAATAAAGGATCAATCCATAGTCAACACTGTAGGTCTGTGTGTAACCCTTTTCGATCAAGTGAGTGAGCCTCCAAGTGTTCTACAGAGCTGTTGAGATTAGATTTCACAGTGTACACTGTCAGGTCCTAGAGGTGGTGGGGGTGAAAGGACCGCCAATTTTTAACTTGGTTTAAGTCCGTATGGTCACTTTAGGACTAATTAGACAGCTATTCTTATTTACAATTTCTACTCACTTTTCAGATACGATACAATTTTGTGAATGGTGTGAGGGATATGTGATTAATTCCAAGCTTGATCAGTTTAAACCGAAATTAGTATATTGACCCTCCTGTGACCTACTGGGACCTGGCTGATTGGCTATGCTTTAGAATCTGCCAATTTGTTATGTTTTTGTTCCAATTGATTTGATTTTACACTTTTATTAACTAGAATAGTAAATCAACAAATTTGTTTGTTCAATTTAAGTGCAACACTGCAGTTAATGTGGTCAAACAGTCAACCACTTGGTGGTTCAACTATAAATACCAACATTCATAAAGTTTGTCAATATTCAAGCATTCAACTTACAATTTATGGACTTGATCATTAAAACATATAAAGCATTCAACCTAAAGACTAAAGCATGCCACAAATGAACACAGGAAGGTATAGTGGTTCGGCTAACCCTTTAGCCTACGTTCACTCTTCTCAACCACATTGGTTAAGGCTTACTTCACTATTAGGGGTTTTGTTAGGTTCACCGTTCACCCCAACTACCTTTTTTGATCACAACACGGTCAATTCACTAACCGACCTAGGCAAGCCCTTCCAAGGCACTTGCCAAAGATTTGGTGAAGGTTTTATGCCTAGGCTAACCTACAACCAAAATACCAACAAACAATTCCACAATATGGGTTCTCAATAGGCTCACCTTTAACCTTCCATTTCCTCTAATGGGTTTTCCTTACACTCACGCTTAACCTCTTCCACTTCAACAACAAATTGTTACAATATAATCTCACTAGGACTTAGAGGCTCACTGTGAGCCAAGCCTTCCAGCATTTGTGTGTGAGAGATCAAGTGTGGTAGAATATGTGTCTTAGAGTACACATGTTTAGCAATTATACCTCAAAAGAATAATGCCCAAATCTGTCAAGTTATTTTCTTCAAAATTCTTAAGCTTGGGACTTCACTGTTGATGAAGAGGATAATGATCCTCAATGTGATTCTCCCTTGAGCACTCTTAAGATGGAGGCACTGTTGCTGGTGGTCTTGAGCGGCGAGCGTAGATTGGTAATGGAGCAGGATGTTACAATGGTGGAGAGCCTAAAGTTGAAGGGGGAAAAAGATGTAAAGGAGAGGATATTACTTGGGGAGAGCAAAGATTGCGGGAAAGGATGTAGAACAGGACATAGAATGTATTACGAAGAAATATGGTATAAACTCACAATGTAGCATCAATACTAGTGAGAGTGTGGAAGAGTAGGATTGCAACACTGATAGCCTTTCTAAGGTTGAAAATACAACAAAAAATACACATAGTAGCACGGGGATCAAACTACCTAAGCCAGGATCGAGTTATGTGTATAGAAAACACAACCAAGAGCAGGATGAGGAATAGGGAATGAAACCAAATTAGGAAACAGAACAGGTGAGATGTTCCATGTAAGACAAAAAAAGGCGTGTGATTTGAGGTAGCATACAGCAAGGACAACATCACTCCAAAAATGTTTAGGGACATGCATATGGAACAGAGAAACTCTAGTTACTTCCAATAACTGATGAGTTTTTACATTCCAGGACACCATTTTGTGATGGTGTCTGAAGACAATATGGTGGATAAAATAATGTCTTTGTCTGAAAAGAAGAGTTACAAGAGAAAGATGTTCTGTGACATAATCAGAACTTAAAGTACGGATGCAACAGTCAAATTGAGTTTTAATCTCTATGCAGAATGTCTGAAATGTAGAAAATTACTTAAAGTGGGCTTATAAAAAACAACCATATCCTACGAGAATGATTATCTGCAAATGTCCCAACAACAATATCTATCAACCGAAGTGTGCTTTATTGGACCCCATGCATCAAAATGAATAAGATCAAAAAGACTAGAAACATGATTACAGGCCTTGGACAGGACACACGATGACAAGCATGACCTGATATAGATGTTTCCCTAATAAGACTCTACACTTTTTGCCATGATGTCTGAAGTGATGGATGGACAAGACAACAATTCTACTGGAATGGAGTTAGTGAAGACGAAAGGGCTTGAGTAACTTGGTTTACAGCAACATATCCCATGGCAATAACTCAAGGTTTCCTTGAAACATATAGTAATGTATATTCATGTTGCATCATTTAGGGGGAGATTAGAATGATGTGGTGTCGCCCACATTTAGATAACTTTTTTCTTCTCAAAAAATTACCATCATGACCTGAAAAACTCACCACTGATCCCAATTACTGAGGTGACTCCTGATATTTCAGATAGGAGATTTTCTGAGTTCATGTTTTGTAGCCGCAGCCCCCCAACTACTTACGTGGATTCCCCCACTTATTTCAGTAATTGCTATAGTGCTCTTTCTGAGATTTCACTCGCATAGCATGTTCCATGTGTTCTAGTATGTAGTCATCTTGATATTGGATGTGCATCTAGGAACTAAATGATGGAAAATCTTTATGATCAAATGCGTAAAGAGGCACTTCCCGTAAAAATGAAAAGCATGGATGTTTTTGAAACCATGCTGCTAAAGTAGTAGATCTGTCCAACTCCTAAAATGCTAATCTTCTATTACTGTAAGATAAGATCTCCTGGCTGATGCTAGACCAATATGAATTGGGTCTCACAGTTTGGGTGAAAGGAGATGGTCAAAATCAGGATTCCATTCTTAAATCTTCCTGTGTGATGTATATTTGTATTGATTTTGTTTTACCCTTTTGGTAGGCTGATTATCTGCCTCTCCTCTATGCATCAAGTAGGAGTTTGCATTCACTCATTAATTTATGACTGATTTGGTGGTCAATAAAGTGGAATTTTTTTGTATCTTAATGTACTGACTTTTTATGTGATTTCATAGTTTCAGCAAAGTAGTAATGCAATTTTTTGTAGGCATCATTTGAACGAGCAAAAAAATGGGTTCAAGAGCTTCAAGCACAAGGTAGGTTTTACTTTCTAAATTTGTCTTGAGATACCTCTCTCTCTCTCTCTCTCTCTATATATATATATATATATATATATATATATATATTATATCTTCTCCTTTCCCCTCTCTTTTATAGTAAATCATAGAGAAGGAAAGAAAAAAAAAAGTTCATACAATATTTCATCCTCATCATTTTGCACTTGTGGTCCCTTTTTACCTTTTAGCTTGTTTTTAATATTCATTATCTCTATTCTTTTCTTTGGCATAAGGGAATCTGAACTTGGTTATGGCACTAGCCGGGAATAAAGCGGATTTGCTAGATGCAAGAAAGGTGGCAGCAGAGGCAAGTATATTTGTTTTTTGGCTTTGCACTGGTTTCTCTTTGGGTAGCTAATTGTTGTCATTTATTTCAATAGCAACAATGTTGATGCTACTGAATATATCGACTATGACTTCGAAACTTTTTGCCCATTCCACTTCCGTGACCTTGATACCATTGAGTTATGTGGAGCCTTTCTAGAATTTTGAAGAACTGCAATTCTCCAGTTGCCTATGGTTTGACTATCTAGCAATTTTTAGAGGTTTTAAGGTTCTATTGTTTGGTGGAAGAACATGAATGGAATTGTTTACCTCCATAACTACGTGAGCATAGCATCTTAGTTACATTGATCAGTGTTGACCTGAGGCCTAGGTTAGAGGCAAAGTGTAAAAAACTAAACAAATATTTAGTTTAGTTACTAATGAATGTTCAATTCCAACTAGTCAAATACTAAATATTAAATGCAACGAAAAGCATAAACATTAAAGTTGAAACAAACACCAATGATATCTCAAATTTTAAAGGCAACCCAAAAGCATAAACATATAAATTCAAATAAACACTAATAATATCTCAAATCTTAACTGCAACCAGAAGTTTTAGCATTTCGAAAAAACACCAATTATACCCCAAATCTCGACATTTGGAAACAAAAAACTCACAAGTCAAATAACTAAACATTTAGTTGATGCTTCCCCAAATTGAGGATCTAGAAATCATCCTCACCACCAAGCAAATCATCTTGTTCATTATTATTGGAGTTATATTAAGAATGCAAATTAAAAAAATTGTGTTCGCCTTATCACTTTTCGATGAAGTGTGAAGCGCTCACTTTTGGTGCTTAATCATCGCATTGGAAAAGCTTGCTTCACCTCGAACACTTGAGGCGACCTAGGCTCGCTTGACCTTGCCTTGCGCCTTGGCGTACTTTTGATAACATTTGCATTGATGATACAGATAGGTAACATAATATCTTTGCTCATTGTCTCTGACGTAAGATTGATATCTTGAAATCTTTCCATGAAAGTTTTCATAGACACATGAGCGTATATAAAATTCTTCATGCATGGTATTGCAAAGTGATGGCAAGGTTTTAGGGCTATTGCTTGTTGGAATGGTAAAAGCTTGGGCTAACAAGCATTTGACATTTGGATGTAGCCAAAAAGACTCTTTCTGCCATATCATTGATTGTCCTTTTTTGTTGTGCTTATCTTTTCTAGACCCTACTTTTCTTCGAGAATAATGGCGGGTTTTTAGCTTGTTTGCTTTTCTCAACTCTAACAAGTATGGACACACATACATAGGACACAAATATGATACGACATGGATAAACATGTAAACATGACATCTCTCAAAAAAGTAGGACAAGGATACGGACACGTTGGGGACACACCGCAAATTATTGCAATTATATTGCTAATGATATATTATTCTTAAAATTTTTTTTAGTACTTTATGGTAAGTAATGTTACGTCTAGTGTGAATTTTTAGACTAAAATGTCATAATAATTAATAATCATCATTTTTTTTTGTACGCCGTGTGTATCTAACATCTATAATTTAAATTTTTGTTCTTATTTTCTTAATTCTCTATTTAAAGATTTTTATACATCTTTTGCTTTTATTATTAGACTTCGAGTACAACATTAACATGTATAGCCTTGATAAATTATATGTTCTTTCATAGTATAAGATACTTATTATTCAAATTTTTAAGCTTTATTAATTACATGTAACATGTTTATTGTTTTGGAGTAAACATAGTTTAAAGAAGTGTCAGACACATCACAAAAGAAGGATTAGATACATGTCCGAAATTAAAATTTTAGCTTTTAATTATGGACACAGATGAAAGTGTATCGGACACGTGTCCGAGGAGTGTTGGTATCTGACACGGATACGTCGCCTTCTTGAGAGTGTCCGTGCATTATAGTTTCAACTTTCATTATTTGTGGGAGGGTTCATAGCCTTATTTACTGTTAAGTGTAGAGGATTAACATGATATTTGAGAGAAATATACAGGGGTTAAAAACTTAACCTAGTTCTCATACATCACTTGTATTTATAGTTAACTCACAATAATAAGAATTACACATGCACCCTCTTACAATTAACAATTTACACATACTATCCTAATATTCTTAACACTCCATCTCAAGCTAGACTATATATATCATATAATCCAAGTTTGGAACAAATTGCTGTAAGACGTGTACGACTCAATTTGGTAAACATATCTGTAAGTTGATCTTCAGATTTTACAAATGGAGTTATAATCTTGTTCCGAACAAAGTGACAATCAATCTCAATATGTTTGATTTTCTCGTGAAACACCGGATTGACAGCAATATGGATAGCTGCCTGGTTGTCACAGAATAACTGTAAAAGAAGTTGAACTGGAAACCCAATTTCCTAGAGAAAGTGTAGTAGCCAAGTTAACTCATTCGTCGTATGCGCCATTGCCCTATGCTCAGCCTCAACATTGGATCTTGCTACCACGGATTATTTTTTACTTTTCCATGAGACGTTACCTCTTAAGAAAGTACAATAACCGATGGTTGATCTCCGATAAGGAGAGTCAGCCTAATCAGTATTTGAAAAACTTTACACTCTAAGATGTCCATTAGTTTGATATAACAGTCCAAGTCCAGGAGCTTGTTTGAGATGTCGCAGAATACGAGTAACTGCCTCCTAATGTGATGGTATTCTAGGACATCCCATGAATTAATTTACTATACTGACTGCATGTGAAATATCCGGTCGAGTAATGGTGAGATAATTAAACTTCCCAACCAATCTGCGATACCGACCCGGATTCTCAAATAATGTACTATCATCTATCAATAGTTTCTGATTCGGATCTATAGGAACATCAATCGGTCTGCCACTCAGCAAACCTGTTTTTTCTAGCATGTCAAGCACATATTTTCTTTGTGATAAACAAATACCCTGTTTAGATCGAGCCACTTTA